GCATTTATTCTTGTCTGCATCTAGTCCGAGGGGTTAATCAAAATGTTTCCATGACAAAGCAGGCTCATTCTGGGTGGTTTTACGGCTTCTCGGCATACTGAGTCCTATTAGGGGCACAAAAGCGTGCGCAGCTGGTGTCACCTCCACAGTGATTTTCTCTTAGGTGGTCTGGCTGCCTCCAATTATGAATATTTCTTTTCGGCTCCTTTGAAACATGAGGGTAGAGTAAAGGAAAGAAAGGGTTGGCGATAATAATCTGTCAGTCAAAAGAAACAATATCTGTTCCTTTGCTTGCTCCCTGGAAGGGGTGAGATGGGAGTGGGTTCTCCTACAGTGAGGGAGACACCAAGAGAAGCTAAGGGGATGAGAAGTCTCCGTGGAAAATCCATCAACAATTCAGTGCCCAGTTTTGGGTAAACCATACTTTTAGTTGCTAGAAAATAGGGCAAATAAAGAGGGAGTTCCCCAAATCATTGTAAGGGACTTAAGTTGCAAGATTCTCTAAGATAAGGACCTTGCCTTCTACAAGGCGGGAATCCCCAGAGCATACAGTCTGATGCCATGTGCACTGGGGCTCCTGAACTTTGTCCTGTGATGTGCTTTCTTCTCTTAAATCAAGTCCCTGACCCTGCTCTTCCAGTCTGGCTTTCTGTACCCACTGAAGCCCACAGGGCTGCAATTCAAAGGGAATATTCTTACTTTACTTCCAACTCCCTTGGTGTGGTATGTCAGAATTTCTCAATGTTAAGCATGAATGCAAGATGCATTATCGCTTAGCAGTGAGACTTCTGGTCCTGTTGATGCCAATGATTTCAATACAGATACCAACACTCTTGGGTTTCATGGGATACTAACACTTTTAAGACATCAATAATGCTTACTTTATGCTTATTAAATGTTTTCTCAGCTCACCCTCTTCCATTATCAAAAGGGACCAGCAAGCTACCTGACATGGTTGGTGACCATTTTCTGATTACACAGAGTTTTGTGGTGGAGAGGGAGGTCATCTGGCCTGCCTGTGGAAGGGACGCTTGCAAATATTTCAAAGAAAAGATTTCTCTGTGAAGTCTCCCAAAGGACGAGCTACATACTCATGCCAACCTTTTAAAGTTCTCACTGTCAGATACACTATTATAAACACCCTAAGCCTCTTAAATGGGAGAAGGACAAATGGTTGAGAGCTCAACTACTAGCCAAAATGTTGGTAGTTCAAACCCAGCCAGAAGCACGTGAAGGACAGGACTGGCGACCTGCTTCTGAAAAGCCACAGCTCTGGAAACTCTGTGCACATGGGTCACCATGAGTCAGAATTGACACAATGGCAGCCAACATCAACAATAAAAATTCAATTTTCTCTCATTGGGATTTTTTATAGAGACAGAATCCATACCACATTGTCTGCCTAAGATTCCATTATACATACATATATAATATGGTATTTTTCCCAGTACTCTTTTTTTTAATTTAATACTGAAATATACTTTCAAAGACCATTTTTTGTTCTTTGTCTTTAATTACACATGTTGTTGTCGTGTGCCATGGAGTCAATTCTGACTCATGGCGACCCTATATGACAGAGTAGAACTGCCCCATAGGGCTTCCTAGGCTGTAATCTTTCTGGAAGTGGATAACCAGGTCTTTTCTCCCACAGAGTCGATGGTGGATTCAAACCGTCAACCTTTCGTTTAGCAGCCAAGTGCTTAACCATTGCACCACCAGGGCTTCTTAGTTAAATATAGGCCTCCTACTATCTTAGACTAGGAGCCCTGGCAGCCCAGTGATTAAGTGCTTGGCTGCTAACTGAAAGGTCAACAGTTTGAAACCAACCACCCAGTGGCTCTGTGGGAGAAAGATATGGTAGTCTGCTCCCACAAATATTACAGCCTTGGAAACACTGTGGGGCAGTTCTACTCTGTCTTATAGGGTCACTCTGAGTCAGAATCAACTCAATGGCTACGGACTTGGTTTTTTGGTTATTACGTTAGAGATGAGCTTGATAAGCTTGCCAATGGCAAGTGTTTAGAAACAGAAAGAAACCTGAGGACACAGGTTTGTGAAGCAAAAACTATCTAGGGGACTGTGAGAGGAAGATGAGCTGGCCAAAGAAAGAAAGGAGCTCCCGGCCGTTTAGGAGAAGAACTCAGGAAAATTCAATAGTATAGAAGGCAGCTGAGGGAGGTCAAGGTCCAATAAATACAGGGGGATAAGGACCGAGGAAGGGTTACTGAGTTTGGTATTTAAGGGATCACAGTGATCTTTAAAAGATAAAAATAATTTCATAGCATGGTGAGGCAGAAGCTGGGCTGCAATAATGATATAGCTCGGACTTAGCTCTGTGTTCAAGCTCTGTACTTACGTAAAAAACTTAAGTAAAAACATCCCTGAACTTATTTTTATTGATAATAACCCATTGAGGTAAAACAAACAAACAAAAAAAACCTAACCCTTTGCCATTGAGTCATTTCCAACTCATAGCAACCCTGTAGGATAGAGTAGAACTGCCCCATGGAGTTCCCAAGGAGCAGATGGTGGATATGAATTGCCAACCTTCTGGTTAGCAGCTGAAGTCTTAACCACTGCACCACCAGTGGTTAAGATATTACAGATGACTGTGAAACCTCTCCTCAAAATGTTGTTAGTTGTCATCGAGTTGGCTGTGACTCGTGGTGACCTTATGTGTAACAACAAAGCATTGCCAGGTCCTGCGCCATCTTCATGATCATTGGTATGTTTGAGTCCCTCATGGCCATTGCGGATTTCCCGTTTTTGCTGCCCCTCTACTTTACCAAACATGATGTCCTTTTCTAGTGATTGATCTTTCCTGATGACGTGTCCAAAGTAAAGAAGCTGAAATCTTGCCATCCTCTCTTCTAAGGAGCATCCTGGTTGTATTTCTTCTAGGACTGATTTGTTTGTTCTTCTAGCAGTCCACGGTATATTTAGTATCCTTCGCCAACACCACAATTCAAATGCATTAATTTTTCTTTCGTCTTCCTTTTGCATTGTCCAGCATTCTCCTGCCCATGAGGTGATTGAAAATACCATGGCTTGGCTCCGGTGCACGTTAGTCATCAAAGTGACATCTTTACTTTTCAGAACTTTAAAGCAGTCTTTGGCAGTGGATTTGCCCAATGCAACGTGTCATTTGATTTCGTGACTGCTGCTTGCGTGGGCATTAGTGTTGAATGAAGTAGAATGAAATCGTTGACAACTTCAATTTTTTCTGTTTATTGTGATGTTGTTTATCGCTCTACTCCTTAAAGGTAGACACTAGTGTTATCTGTTTATAGATGAGACAATTAAGGCAGGGAACTCTGAACAACTTGCCCACATCCAGACAGCCAGATATTTGAACCCAGGCAGTCAAGCTCCCACATTACTGTTCTTTGCCACTACCCTGACCTGCTTCTTGAAAAAAAATTGAAAAGGTTATTATTACATCATGAGGATGTGGATGTGGGGATGTAAGCTTTCTTTTATGATGTTTAGTGGAAGGAGAAACAACTTCTTAAAAAAACCGTGAACTCAGAACATGGGTCCTGGTCTGGAAGATTCAAGAGGATATGGCAATCACAGTGGCAAGAATGAGAGAAACAGAAGACTATGATATGAGGGAGTTTTGAAATGAGAGCTATCTGAATTTGGCATAAGAAGGTCACACATGTATGCAAATTAGTTCATGGGCTTGCTGTCTCCTTTGGCCATGAGTTGAGACAGTGGTGCCAAGGGGATGGATATTTTCATGCACAAGTGTGGCAAAGAGGCTTTGGGAGCACAGGGCAGTCCCGGGGGGCTGCTGGAATGAAGACTTTCAGGCAGCACTAGGGATGGAGGGGAAGTGGTGCCAAAGCCAACAATGGCTTATGGTCTTTGCTTCTTTCCTGGCCCTTTGCTCTTCTAATCTTTAAAATTTGCTTTTGGGGAGGCAACCATGTACATTACAATTTGCATTTGAATCATGCAAGTGGTCACCAATATTGGCATCTTAAAACAATAATATATTCTCTAGGCTATTGAAGGTTTAACCGATAAAGGGAAAACAAGAAACGGGCCAATCTTTTTATAAAAACGATGATAGTCTATGTGATTAGGATTAAAGACAGCCCTGGAAAATGTCTGCAGTGGAAAACAGTGGTAAGCAAATGTACAAATTATATTTTTGATACTTCTTTAATTCACAAGATTATCTAAATAAAGAGCTTTTTGCCTTGATTATGAAAACCAGCAAACAAAATGTGTTTTAATTTCTACACGTACATTTAATTGCTAAAACAATCTCATATATCCGCCACTGAGCCAGGTTAATTCCACACTTCCATGTGCAACGCTTCTGCTCAAGACAGGTGTCTTAATTAAATAAACTAATAATTTTGCAAGTAGAAGTACAAAAGCATAATTATCTAATTTGTTAATTGTGCAACCCTGTGAATTTGCATACTTGTTAGCTGCAACATAAACAAATAGCTTGTATGTGTGAATCCTAGAGTTAACTTAATGAAGCCGCTCTTTGGAGTAGCATTTCCTGACATGAGTTAATAGATGCCACATAAAAAGGGCTCTCTAGTCAAATCAGGTTGAAGAAATGCTAGGTTGGAGAAAATAAAACAGCTTTGTTTCCGCAGGAGTTCTGGGATACTGAAATGGGCTAACATGCATCCTAACTATCTAAGAGGGGAGGTACCATGCCGTGTTTCACAAACTGTAGGTCTACAGACCCCCATTTTGGAGGAAAGGAGAATACTGCGAGGCGCTAGTGTCTGAGCAATGCGTTTGAGAAAAATGCTCCTTTTAGAGGGGTCTTAATAATCTGTGGGTCTCACAGTTTTTTCCCACTAGCTACCCCATCCTTCACTCAGCAGACTGGCAGGAAATGAATTTAAGAGGCATATGTTTTCATTTTCTATCTCTTGATCTCTGTCTCTCTCTCACACACACACACAATGTTGTCTATAGCCGCTTACTGTAAACATGTAAACCTCTTTTGTTTTCTTTCATTATAGGCATATTGACAGGCTTGCTACCCTTCAGAAACTACGCAGTGACCCTAACTGCCTGCACTTTGGCGGGCTGCACCGAGAGCCCACATGCACTGAACATCTCTACTCCGCAAGAAGGTAAAGTAATTTCAAAGGTCTTGACTTCCACATTTCAGTCATGAATAGTAAAATAGGAGAAGAGCTAAATGCTGCAAGGCCATTTGCTGGAAAACCCCAACCTAATTTGATGACAAAGTGCATTGCCAGGCCATAATTGCTCCATTTTTTGGGGGGTGCGAAAATGAATCAAACTCCATACCCTTTAATGACATGCATCTTTAATAGCTGTAATGCAGATTAATGGGCTTTTTAATTGCTGTTACATTGTTCATGCAAGAGTCTTGTCATTAATATGAAGCATCTGAAAGATTAATGAAAGCTTCCTCATTTTACTGTGGCTCAGAAGTAAATCTAAAGACAGTCTGACTAAAAAGAATTGATTGTATGGCACAGTATGAAATTGGGAATCAAACGGTTGATTTCCATGGTATCTTTTAACTGCTCACCACCAGCACGGGCAACAATTATTTCAGGATGATGGAAGCTCCAAATGCCAATTGAGGCATTTATTAATCACTGCTCGTTTCCTTCGGACTTAAGTCTCACTTTTGCTGTACTTGGAACTTACAAACTGTTGGCATAAATTAATGTTTCAGAAAGCCTATGTTAGGAAGGCAGTGAGAAAGAGAAAATATTTTAGCACTCCAGAGCGAAAGCTTTGCTCAAGCGTCAGCACACATCACTTCAAGAAATAACAACTCTCAAGACATTTGAAGCGTTATTGCTTACTGTTTCTCTCTCCTCGCGGAGAGAAATTGCACATTTCTTATGCTATCTAGTTTGACGTTATTGAGGAGATTTAAAAGCTTGATTGTTAGGAGAAAGGAGTCAGCTAGTTGCTCTTTCTCTTTTTCCCAGTATCTATCCATTCCCTCCTCTTTCTCCCTCTCCCGCTTTTAACCTTCAGCAAGAACTACATGCGCAGAAGATGTATGGGAGAAAGGAAGGCGTGGGCCATCTGAGGAGACTGACACGAAGCATTTCCTAAAATCCTTCTTGTGAGCCTGTCCTCTTGGTGCTTTGCACCTGACCCAAGCAAACGCCCCTCACCTGGACTGTGCCATCAGTGATCTGCCTAGCATTTTCTCAATATTCTCGCCGCCTGGGTTACTGACAAAAGCTAATGTGTCATCACCAGCTGCCAAGGTCCATGCTCATCCTCTCTTTATACAAGTGCTTTCACCAGTCTCAAAATTGGCCAGATTGTCCACGTCTCTCATTATTTTCCCAACATCCACTACCTTCCCTGCCCAGGTTTAACCTGGTACTTCTCACAGCTATGCCCCAGAGGAATCTCTACTCATCCTGTTCACTATTTTCTTTGCATTATTTAAGAAATTCACAAACTTCTAGCCTTTCCAGGAAGTACACCTAATTTGGAGTCCCTGGGTAGTGAAACAGGAAAACGCTGACTACTAACCTAAAGGTTGGTGTTTTGAACCCACCCGGAGATGAGGCAGAAGACAGGCCGGGCAATCTATTTCTGAAAGATCACAGCCATTGAAAACGCTATGGAGCAGCTCTGCTCCGCACCCGTGGGGCCGCCATGAGTCGGAA